GAAAACTGGTAACAATCAGGTGGAGAAATAAAAATGTAGTATATTGCTGGTGTCATTTAGGGTATTTCAGATTACTGATAAAGGTCTATTCTCCAAATTGGAATTAAATGGATCGCTGGAGTAGAATATGGTTTGGCAGGGTAGACATCTGTCATACAACATTGACTTTCTCTGGATTTGTTCTCCATCAAATTGACTACTTAAAGTTTCATGCCTATTTTATTCAATTCTATTAACCTTTAAGATTATAAAGAACCTCCTTTAAAACTTGGTCTTCCAACAACACCCTGACCTAGTTTTCAACGGTACATGAAGGGATGTTAAAAGCCACTTCGGTGTGTAAGACCAGAACTGTCTATTCCCAGGAAGGCTGAGTCACAGTGAGAAACCGGCCAAAGAGCAAGATCCAGAAAGCACATATCTCCAGCTTCTTCTGAGTCAGACCAGACTCTCACTTCCTTTTGCTTTTTCAGGTAAATTTCTCAGGATATTCCCCCCAGAATTTCAGGGAACTCTATAATTATAACGCTGTACAAAATATATCAAAAGTAAAGGGGGCTGGAGGCTGTTTATCACACTGTGCTCCTTTCCACGTGTTGGACTTCTTCCCCCACCTGATTTTAAATCTGTCAAATGTTCACTTAGGTGTGAAGGGATTGCTCAGTTGTATTCATTCTAACAGAGCAATTTAACTCAAAGTGAAATCACACACACACACACACACACACACGCACAATGTTAATCACAGAACTACAAGGCTCCTGAGATGCCACCTAATTCAAACCTCTTTTTGTTGAGGTAAGAAAGGTGAATAGAGGAAGAAATTTTTCCCAACACATTTCAGACTCAGATCTTGGACTTCCTGTTTTTTCATCCCACTGGTCTGTCTCAACAATATTCACTACTATTTGCACATGTTATAAAATAGCTATGAAATATCTTTCAAATGACACATGGTGTTTAAAAATGTGATTTTCTGTATTCATTTCCATAGGCTCTTACACTGATGTTTTGCATATAGTTTTAGACTTCATCATTAAAATATACAGAAACTCAACAAAAGCTAGTGGGCAGAGAGCAGGGGCAGGAGTGGGATTTGTTTGGCTTCTCCATGCCTCCTGGGTTGCTAACCCTGGGGTAGAGGCACAGCTGCAAGTAACTGCACAGGTCGAGTGCTGCCAAAGTTGAGAAATAAATGATTCTTCTGCATCTTTCCTAGGAGCTATAAAAGGGACACTGCCTATGTGTGCTTGTATAGGAGTCTTTCTCGCTTTCCAACACTCCAGAAAAAGGCTCCAGGGCAACTTGCTGACTCTTATTCAGATGGTTCTGAGAACTTGGTGATCTGAGGCAACTTTATTTGCAGTTTCTTCATCGGTGACAAAGCAGCTTCCTACAGGCCATCCTTTGACTCTGGCTCAACTCCATTTATTTACACTTTACTGACACTGATGTTGGTCAGGGGAATATCAATAATCCAGGTTCTGCAATTTGCTATATGTAACAAGTGTTAGAAGTAGCAAAGAGATAAATCCATGAGTTAAATTATTCTGCTCATGTGCTTATAGCTACTAATGTTTAACACGTAAAGGGAGGAAAAATATTTTTATGACCTTTCAGTATCTGCACTATCTGGTAAGTTTTGATGCCTTTTATACAGTTTTCCAATTGTCCACAAGTTTTATATGTATCTCTATTTAATGGATCCTATATATTTTAGTTCATACATGGAACATATTTTTTATGCACACATAAAATGACTACTTCTATATAGTCTATGTAACAAAAAGTATAAACATGGATCAGAAATTCGAGGGTCAGACAAATATCAATATTTATTCAAGCTAAGCATCTCATTTCTGAGATACATTTGACTGTCTAGCATAAGAATCTATCTTTAAGTAGATGTTTTATGTAGACCTCATCAATACTTTATTTTCCAAGAAGTATTCAAATAACTAAAAGCAAGTTCCTACAGCCTAATTAAATATTTATTATTTTTTATGACATGGGAATATCTTTCATAGATCTGAAAAACTGGGCCATGGTCTAAATTTTAGGCACCTTTTTTCCTTATGATGGCAAATCAGTACTTATGTCATAAAACTGGAGAGTTACAATTGATGTGGTTTATGAAGTTTCTCTAGGGTAAGAAACTGAAAGTGTAAATAAGGACTAAAAGGTATAATAAATAATGTGAAATAGGAAGAAAAGGGTCAAAGGGGAACAGGAAGTGGGAGAGGTAGGGGAAAGGAAAGAAGGGAATGGAATTAATATGAGAAAATGGAAAAATGGAAACAAAGTCTTTGTAAATAGGGAGGGATGGAGGGGTTGAAGGGAGGGCAGGGGAAGGGGGAAAAATAAGAACCAAGATGAATTATGTAGAGGTACAGATTTCCAATATGATTATTATTATATTGTAAACCTAAAATGTACCAATAAAACTAATTTTAACAAAAAGAATTGATGTGGTTTAGTCATAATCTGTGTATTTTCCAGGACCTACCAAAATTTCTATGGAACACTAGTTAATACTTAACATCTTAGAAATTCTGCAGCAATAACTTCTCTTGCCCTTCAAATGTACTTAAGCAGGGACTAGTTGTCGCCAATTTCAGTTTGGCAAATATGTATTGAACTCAAAACAAAGTACATAGTTTGAGATTGAGGGTATATCAAAGAATGAAGCAAACTGGCCATCAAGACTCTCACTCTAGCAGATGATTCAGAGGAATATGGAAGTACATTACAAGTGGTTCAGTAAGAATCTCAGGGAGTTTCTCAAATGAGCTCAGAGGTAACAGGAAGCTATTCTCACTTGGGACACTAGACAAAGCCGCACACAGGAGGCAAGGCATTTGTACTAACACCCCAGCTGCCTGGCACAGCCCAATGTACACTATAACCCAGGTGTGGAATTTTAATACTGCACTTTTACTCTCAAAAGTTTTCTCTGTACAATAAACTATATGATCACTCAAGTATTGAAACAGATATAAGATGTTGATAGTGAGAAGAAAAGGGGAAGGAATTCTGGGGGGACTAAAGAGCAAATACAAAAGGCATGGAAGGATAAAATCCCTGGGTCTGTCTCAGGAGAACTGAATAATATTTCTATCATGTGTACAAAAGAGGATTTTTTTCTCTTATATGTTGCTGGTTGATTGAAATTGGAGAATGTTCTTCAAGAACTGTCATGAATCTTTTATTTGTACATAATTTATTTTTCTTTCTAAGATTGTGACTACTGGGCAGCACAGTTTCCTATTTATCTCTCATTTTCCATTTTCATTTGATCAGAGTTCTGTTTCTGGCAATGTACTATTTTCACATCACAGGAAAAGAGAGGGAAATTATGAACTGATTCATGCATTTCATTATCTGCCTTCTAACCAGTTAACACTGAATTAGATTACAATGGGCTTGACTGTGGCTCTTGTGCTTTTCTGGAAACAAATGTTTGAGGAGAAAATTGCCAAAATTAGAAAGACATTTCTGTCTTTGTAACTATTCAGGGGGAAAGAATGGAGTATGCTGAAATAAAGAAAATCTTAACTGACTTGCAGTGTTTCAGAACAACAGATTTACATTTTTGCTTTTTGTGTGATAAACTACATTTCTGATAGTATTTCTCAGGCATTTTTAAAAGAAAGATTATAAATTTAGGATGAAATAATGATGACTAACACTATGAGTATAAATGAAAAAATAACACAGCCATCAACTGAGCAATTTCACCAATAACTAAAAGACTGTATTTTCCTTATCACATGAGAATGCACAGTGGAGTTGGCTTTCATGCCTGTTCATCTTGAACTACTTTTGTGTCAGCACGTTGGGGTTTCCACCAAGCTCAAGGCACAGATTTCACGAGTTCTGCTCATAGGGCATCCACAGTATGGAGTGTGCAATGGTGGGAAAGGGCAGTGGCCCTCCTTTGCTCAGGAAAGCAGGCGTAGGGACACAGTAGGGTGCAGCTCCCTCCTCCCTCCTCTTGACTCCAAGAGCTGTCCTTCTGGGCAGAAGATGAGGTCCACATTGCAATGAGCCCTCTCCTTGTTCTTTCCTTTTCTAGCCCAGTTCAGTTTCAAGTTTTCCCATAGCATGAACATGGGGTCCTACTCTATGTATTTTCTATGAGAGGATGTTATGAAATCTACTGGTCTTCAGAGAGAGCTTTTAAAGTTTTTGAAATTAGCCAAAATGTAATTACTCTGATGTTTCTGATTCATGTGAGTATAATGAAGTGACAGGACTCTGATTCTCTAACAGTAGTCTTTCCCTCTCCTCCTCAGGCCCTCATCCTCATCACTATAACACTCACACAGGTGTTCTAACTGGCCCCCGTTCTAGTCTCTTTCACTTTCCTCAACTCCTGGGATACTCCTCAAACAATCCTTCTAATGCAAGACTTGCTTATGCCCCACTTACAGCTTTTTGGTAGCTCCAAGACAATGAGATAAAGCTAAGGCTGACTGAAGTGCTCATGCAGAGCTGTGCACTGTTAATCCTCCGGCTGCACACTCTCCCTCCATCCCTAACCTCTTTGTAGAATTGAACCCTGTTGAACTTGAGCTCTATTAAACCTTCCTTGCCTGCTGGGCTCAGTCACATTCATCTGAGTATTAGCACACCAGCGGCTGGATACTCTTATGGGCCTGGGGGGTTCTCCAAGCCTTTTCTGTCTTGGTATCATCACTGCTTAGCAGACAGCCTGGTATGTGCCTTGAGGAAACAAATGAATGAAAAAGATAGCTGAATGAATTGCCCTTTAGGCAGAGCTTTCTTAAATCAAAAGCAGTCCTAATAGGTTTTATTGGAAACAAATGATTATCTGTGTGTTTGGGATCATATCTGGCTAACCACCTATTCCTGAAGATGGGCAATGCGAAGATGTATTTGCAAAAGGATAACAAAGCTAAAGATTTACGCGAAACTACTAAAGTGGACTGAATAAAATAATCAATTTTCTGATAGATGAGCACACACATCACTACAAATCACTTTCATATAAATGTGTTTTATTGCAGAGAAGTTATAATTATTTACATGCTGCAACACGTCACAACATAAATTTACCAAATATTTCATGGTGGGATGCTGGAGGTTTCAGATAATAGTTTCAGAAGAACCACAGATTCAGTGAAGAGACTTACAGCTTTGTTGACTCTACAACTCTCGGTTGCTAAATGCTAGAAGTCAAAAGGCAGTGTTTATTCAGTCCTACCTGTCATCACTTGCATGCAGAAACCTAGGAAGCAAATACAAGAGAACTGTCGAGTTTCAAATCCATATTGCCACCGAAGTTTACAATGGGTCGAGTTATGATTCATATCATAAAGCATTTAATTCTTGCATAAAATATACAGTTCTATTAAGTTTGATATAAATCTACTTATTTATAAACCCTGGCTCAAAAACAAGGACAGGATGCAGCCTGCACATGCATTGAGAAGGACAACCTAGCAAATGTTTGAGAGACCTTCGTAGTGTTTAGTTACGGTCTAGTGATCAGTTTGGGATAATAACCTCCAGAATTGTACGTTCTGGCTTCTCTTGGTGATAGGTAATGGCAATGAAACTCTAGGAAGGACCCTAGCCATTCTCACTTACTTATGCTGGTGCAGGATAATCTATGGATTGTAGAATGTCACTAAGGTGTCATTTGGCAAGTCTTCTTTAAGTCACATCCCTATGGGATCATTCTGACGTGCAATGAAACTCACTGATGCTTCACTGCTTAATTCTCAAAAGTGAATCAAGTGCTAATAGATCTCAGACAGAAGTGAAACAATTGCGTGGGTCTAGAAACTCTAAATCGAATTCACAAATATACCTAAAGGAGTATTCTAGGGTCACCAAGCAGATAGCCCTCGACTGAAAAGGAAGGGGTGACAGAAATAAATGAAGGCAACATTTGTAAATCAAATTTCTCTATCTTTTCAAACCTACCCCACCAACCTGAGTAATGCACAGGGCAAGCAAATGGGTGAGGAAGATTTATGCACAGCTTTGCAAAATGGCGAAGTGTTCGTTTACTCCTGAAGAAAAAAATCACTGAGAAAACTATCTGGTGATGGATACACAGCGTTCTGTTTTCACCTTTGACTGAGAATAACATTGTCTAAGAACAGCCTTGAATCCACATTCTGACTCCTTTTGCCCATCCTTCATCCCCTTAACTTGTTCTTGCTGCTCATGAAACAAAAAAGTTATTTAGGCTGGAAATGTCCTGGAAAAATAGGCAGTTGATACTGCAGTGCTTAGAGTGAGAGAAAAGGGAGACTGTGCTTTATATTTTTAAGCAGTTCATCTTTAAATAAAATGAGACTGAGGTTAGGAATCTCACTGCATGATCGCATCAGTAGCCTAAGTCAGCAGCTTAGGATTTTCACACCAGGAGATCAGCGTGGAATGCAATAGGTTTTATAAGATATGCTTTGAGGGCTGTTTTGCCTTGGAAATAAATCTTAGCCTTTACATTTTGAGCAAGGTGGCTTGCAATAGCATTTTGCAAGATGTGTAAGTTTTCCAGTGCTTGGGAGAATGAAGAACCCAGGCCACCTTATAGGCTTTCAATAAATCAGGTTATAAAACCTCTTTGGGATTTCAGCCCAGTAAATTCTACCTCTAGTTGAAGCAATGAATAAAAATTTATGAGAATATAGTTTAAGGTAATTTAAAATATCATATTTTCAGTATGCATAATAAAAATATATCCATACAATGTTCTTGATACTATCATTAGTTTTTCTCTTTTAAAAAAATAATCCCTTGAAAGTGCTATTAGGAGCTACTTCTCTGTTTTCATTTTGAAAGGCAAGTTTCCTGGATCTGTAATAGTGCTATAATTCTCATGTCATTCCTAGAGTCTTTCCCTTCCAATGGTAATAACAATGTAAAGTTTCTTTTTCTCATGCTTAGCTTCCTCCTTAAGAAATGCTGCTAAGTATGAAATACTGAAAGAGTTAAAAGGGACAATAGGAATGATCTATCTTTTACTTTGAACAAACAATGGATAAGTTGTCCTTAACTTATTGAGACACGTGACTAAGTAGGACCACTTAATCTCCAATAGTAATCCAGCCTCTGAGTCCTCACAAGAAGTACAAACCAAGAAACTGAACTTGTGTAAAACCCTGATTAAGACCTAATAACAAACTATGATGTGAAATAATAAGAGTCAAATCCACATTCACAATATATAAACCACAGCCCAAACTGAAAGTTTTTATCATAACAGTGATGGCTTCCTAAGCCAGAGAAAGCTTACTGTACTTCAAGAATCAACTAAAGTTGATAGATAGCAGGTTTCTTGTAAGTTGCAAAAACAATTGAGTAGCTACAGATTGCATAAATGAGTTGTGTCACATGATATCAAAGTTATTTGCAAAAATTATACAATCTGGAATGCTTGGGTATGAGACACAACAATATACTAAAACATATAAGAAAATGAGGGCAATCATTAATATAAAAGATATTTTTGGGATGCATTAAGTTAGCAGTGCTATCAAGGTTAAATAGGCAAGGTAAGTTCTTTTCAGTCAGCTACTTGGAACTTTGTAAAATATACCCGTCCCCTCTTCTCTGCAGAATGTTATGTCTTGTGTCTCCTGGCTTGTGTTTCTTTGGATATTCAGAGTCCGGTGGGTAAAAATTGGTCAGGGGCAAGTGTTGAGGGTGATTCCCCCGAACACGTGGAACATGAAGATTTTGCTCGTGCTGCCAGAGGGCTGACTTCTCTTGCTGGAAGTCTGATTTCGGCACCGTGATGCTGCTCACAGGCTCTCTGGAGCTTCTTCAGCCCATGACTTCGACCTTACTTCACTGCCATCCTTCACTGGAAGGACAAAAGACCTTGGGAATTGTTTGATTCTTGGATTTCCTGTTGTATTTTGAATTTAGGATTCCTTTCTGTTCTTCCCGGGGATGCTGTTCTTAAAAGTGTCCCAGACCTCTTATTTCCGAGGCCCTGCTACCGTATTTCCATTTAAAGCGGAAGAGGTGGGTAAAGCTACACTTGTCTCAGCGTTCGGTTGCTCTGGGGTCTCAAACTCCCAAGGACACACCTCAGCTCGTGACGTTAAAGGTTGCTGGAAATTATTACTTGAGTTGTAGGATCCAGGAACGTTTTCCACAGAAGGTGATGTCTTTGCTTCCTGGCCTCCCATTTGGTTGAGATTTTCATTCTCTCCTGTTGATGCTACGACTTTGGGTGGTAGTTCTTCGCATTGCCCAGTACTCACATTAGCTGCATAATGTGGGCCTCCTCGCTCGTCCTGGGCTCTCCCTGGGAGGGCTGGAGTCTGGGAAACCGAATGCGTCTCATCTGCAAAGAGGGGCTGGCCTTGGTCCCCCCAAGGACACACTTCAGCCTTATCTGTGCTCTTCTGAGTGGACGGCTGGGGTCCTCCAGCTGCCTTAGGCTTGTGCTGAGATTTCTCCTTTAAGCAAAAGGCTGAGTTTTTCTCCATTTCAGAAGCTGCGATAGACACGTGTTTTTGAGATTTTGATTCTGAAGGCACAGGACCAGGCACCAGGCCATAAACCTCCCAAGGGCACACTTCCCCGATGTCAAAGCTGTCCTTCACCTGGGTGGTACCGGGGCTCAGCTCAGAGTTGGCAGTGGTGGGGTTGACCCTTTGTTGCTTCATAATCCCAGGTTTCTGAGGCTTTCTTGGCTCCTCTACATGGTTGGAGTTTGGGGGTGCAGAATCTTTTGTCTCCGCGTTGTCTGAGTTTGAATATTTTCTGTTAGTCTCTCTATCTTTTGGCAGAGGTTTCTGGGGCTTAGTACGCTCTTCTGCATTGTAGGCTTGGGTTTTCCCAGCTAACCCAAGAGTCTTCTCCTTGGCACTTGCTATGACACTGAGAGACTTCTGTAACATGGACGTTCGCGGATGCCCAGGCTTCTTCTCTGAGCTGAGGTTGTGGGCGCTTGCCGACTTACACACCAAAGGCACTGACTCCGTGGACTCGGCCTCACTGTCCTCCTTCAGCTTCTGGATCAGCGTTTTACTGGGGAGCGACTCCAGCGTGGAACTTTCAGTAGCCCCCTCCTCCTGGCTCTCTGTCGGGAGGCCACTGGGTTCTTCGCTTTGGTCTCGCACGTGGTCATATGTGCTGAGGGACCTCTTGAGTGAGAAGACCCTGGTTTTCAGGGACTCTTCCTTGAGCCTCCCGGTGTGACCTGAAGACTCTGGGGTGCCCTTCCTGCCCAGGGCAGTGCTTCTGGCTGTGGTGTGGTCTGCAAGGTCCTTGTCCTCCTTGGAGCACTGCCTGCTGACTGTCTCAGGGATCTCCGTGATGCGCCTCATGATGGAACGGCCCAAGCCCTTCTTGGAGCACCGCTTTTTCTGCAGGTGCGGATTATTTGTGATCATCTTCTTCCTTTTATATATTTCTAACTGGGCATAGAGTTTCTTCAGCTCATCCTGCCGGAACAAAAGCAAATTCAAAAATGTGTGTAACTGAGCATTCAGGCAGATGATGTTATTGAGTAGTATTTGAACCCAATAAGCAGAAGCTCTTTGGGGCAAATGCTCTACAGCTTTTCTTAAAATCTGTCTTCATCAATGTTTTCCTCATGTTTACTTCCTAATTATTCTGAGTTTGAACGTTAAGACATGAACTGAAGCATCCCACCCTTGCTTCATGGGGGCAAGGATGCTGAACTTTCAACTTGTGTGGACCAGACTGAGCCAGAACCCTAAAATAAACAGAGGATGCTGAGCACTGATTAAGCATAACCCTGCACCGTGTCAGAAGTGTCATGTAATCATCGATAGTTATGCCTGATGTTGGGTCAGGCTTAGAGGACAACAGCTCACAGACTACACAAAGCATCTTCTTTATATGCTCCTATGTTGTCACAGATGATTTAAATGAGCCAGCTTCTCTGTCCATGGGAATATCCTATCAGCAGAATGTCATAACTCATATTACGTACTTGTAAAACAAGTTCATCGTTATGGCTGCTAATACATCTGTCAAGATTGTCAGGTTGGGCCCAGTTACTGGAAGAGTTGAAATAGCTTCTGCAATTCACTTTGTACCATCATTGTACATCTTAGCACTGGGTCAACTCAGTGTTGGTATCTTCAGTGCACACATAAATATCCATTCTCTTCCTAATACACACATTCACAAAACATGAGTCCTTACACACACACACACACACACACATACACACCTACATCAATACCCAGGTGGGCCTGATCTGAGACAGAAAAGCAGACCCAGGCATTACCCGGATGTCTTCTGGGTCCAAACTGTGCTCGCTCCAGGCTGAGGTGATACTGCTGTTCAGGTAGGACCCAGACCGTCCCATGTCTAGCTCATCTTCATAAGCCTCTGTAGCAATATCGTCTCGTGGATTATTGCTTGAATGTGAAAACTGCAAGAGATATGAAATATGAGCTGTGGCATTAGCCCGATGGAAGACACAGCACAGTGATCCTCTGAAGAGTCTAATGTTACCAGAATTTCTCCGGCTTGATGATTCATTCACTAGGCACCTTCCAATGATGTGCACTTTATTTGTGTTTTGCTTCCTGTGTTGTACACTAGAGCTCCTCATGAGGCAATATTTGCACTTTCTCCTCTTTGACTGCAGGTTTCACCCTTGTTTCTTTTCTGTTCTCTTCTCCCATGATGCATTTGTGTTTTGAAAATAAAAATATACGGAAAAATCTAAAGAAGTGCTCTTTAATTAAGAGGAGCACTTTAGACCTGCAGGCATCTGGAAGGGACTCTTTCTCTTAGCAGTGGGGTCTACCCTGGGTCTGTCAGTTTCTGTCACTAGCTGAAGATGTACTTCATCTATGGGAACAAGTAGCCTCCTGACAGGAAGGTGTTATTTGATCTACTACACACAGCTCTAAAAATCTTAGCTTCAAAACTCAGTGGACAGAATATCTGATTCCAGTCTCCAGTGTGTCACCAGTGAGATTCTGAACAAGACACTGGGTGGCACGGAGATCTTCTCTGCCTGATGAGCTCTGGGCTGGATAGCATCTATGCGAGGATGGAAAGAATCTCTGAAATTACAGACTTTTCCTCAAACTCTTCATTCCTCTCAAGTTTTGCCTCTTTCAACACATTTTTAAAATTCATTTTTTGTGGCCTTTTGCATCATTTTGTTTTGTTTGTTCTGTTTGCTCTTCTCTATTTTAAGTGGAAAAATCAAGAAGTGAATTAATAAATGATGGTAAATAAATGTGATGAGTGATCAATGATTCAAGGAGAATTATCATAACGTTGTCACATTCTAAACAATATGCAAACCAAGGAACCATCCTATGAAACTGAGACAAGAGCTGAGAGAGCACGGATTCTCTTCTCCCAGTGTATCATTAGCTCAATTCTAAAAAAATCCAGACAGCAATTCTTTGATGATACAAAATGTCTTGATGTCAGCTTCTATTATAGAACTGAGCTTGCCAGGCAAATATGTACAGGGTGTAATATGTGAAACAGAAGATTTCTATACAAGTACTAATGTGTGTTCTGTAATTGGAACTGACTCAAAAACCATGAATCTGTCAATCTTTCCTTCCCTCTACCATCTGCTTTAGTGAGAGCTACTGCTACCATGAACTGAAGTCCATAAATGATGAGTATGATAGAGTAAAAAAATCTCATATGCTATGAGTTAAACCACCTGGAGGTTACTTTTAATAATGCACTCGTTTTTCTTGAGAAAAATCTTAGAGCCAACCATGAGTTAAAGAAATAAGACTCTAGGGCTCAGAAGTAGCTAGCGGGATAAGATATGCTGAAGAGCACAGGTTTGACTGCTAGAACCACAAACCAAATCAAATGACAAGTTATTTATTAGATATTGTTTACTTTCTGCTATATTATTTTCCTAAGGTTTTACCCAAAATACTATTTTAAATATTTATCTTACTTATCTCATCTGTTGCCCTGTCCTGTCTTCTGAACATAAGTGCCATGAGAGGACAAATTTTTATCTGGCCATTACTCATATTCTAAAGATATACTCAATAGTGTCTAGCAAAGCCCTTCAATAACATTTTAATTGATTTTTATTAAGACATAATTCAAGCACAGTTCAGTATTTGTTAATATTTTCACAAGGTTGTGCAACCATGACCACTATTAATTCCAGAACATTTTCACCACTTGAAATAGAGACCTTCAACTCATTAACTATCATTTTAATTCCTTCTCCCTGCCAAGGCAACCACCAATCTGCTGACTCCATAGATTTGCCTCTACTGGGAATTTTACAGAACTGGAATTATACATTATGTGGCCTTTTATTTCTGGCTTTTTCACTTGGCATAATGTTTTTCAGGTTTGTCCAACTCTAGTATTCTTCTGTATTTTGTTCCTCTGTATTGACAAATAATGTCCCATTATATGACTATATAATATTTAATTCTGAATTTCTAAGTTGATGGAGATTGGGTTGCTTCTACTTCTGCTTGTTATGAATAATGTTGCTATGAGCATTCATGTACAAAGTTTTTGTACAAGCATGTTTTAAATCTCTTTAGAACTCAATAAAAACTTATTGAATGAAGACTTTGAGTATCCACTCATCTAATAAATCATATTACACAAAGTATTTAAATGCTTAAGATAAATTACAGGAACATACTAAGCTATGAAAACTCTGGATTAAATTAAGGAATAAAGTAGGAATTTTGTTTGTGTATAAATATTTGTTCTTTTCAACAGGCTGAATCTCAACATTTTGGTCAGCTATGAGAGTTGGGGGGAAGCCTGAAGTAAATGAAATCACAGGTCTTGGTTCAGCAGTGTTAACGCTATATTGTGTGGCACCGATTAGACACATAATATTCTAATATTGTGTTCTCTCTGTGTATAGTGATGACAAAGCTGTAATTTTATAATATGTCTTGCCCCAAACTCCAATAGTATTAACTTTTATTCCAAGCATCTTTACTGCTGTTATGTCTTAGAGAGGGAAACTGAAACTCAGAGACCGAGTCTTGGCTCTTACAGTGCACAGCTAGGTGATGGCAAAGCGGCTCTCAGCATCCTGGGTTTGGAGTCCCGGCGCACTTTCCTTCACTTCATTAAGCCACCTAGATAAGTTTTTGTCAGAAACTAACAGCGCTGATATTCTTCTATACCTAATATTAAATCATTCATTTCTATTTACACAAATCTAGTTTGAAAGTTTTAAACACGAGACTTCTTGGACTATGAATCTAAACAAGAGAATTCATAGAACAGGATTTTTTTTAAATGTCCATGATTTTAATAATTATAATGAAAGCCATTCTGAAGCCATAACAGAAACCTGCACAGATATCCAAACCTGTGGAAAAGGACCAAAACAGATGATGGGTTTGATTATAAATAAAGGCATTTAATATTATTTAAGATAAATATTAATAATATATAAATCCAAAAAACCCCATCAGTTTCCCCAGGGAGGAGTTTTAAAATTTTTTTACAGTGTCAAGCAAACTTCCACACTTTCTTTGCCTATCTTACCAGAGTTTTTAAAAGGAGAAGCAATTTCATGCTCTTTAACTGCCTTGCAATAAAAGTAGAAAGTTGGAAGAATACCTTTGGGATCAAAAGCAACCCAATGGTGACCGTCACAGTCAAATGGGTATGTGCAAAATAGAGCATTAACATCCAGTCAGACTGAAGTCGGGAGGCAAGAGCGAATCTGAAACGAGAACCAGCCAAGTTAGCAATCCGAGACCAAGCATTTCTACTTAAGAGACCAGGATATTTGGAGTTTCTTTTCCTCAGTGAATTTTACAAAAGAAACAAAATTGCTGTTTTTACAGCATATCTTTTCATCACAGGAGAATAATGGCTTAAACAACCTTCCTTGGATTCCTAAGATATGAACGCTGTCATGAGAGTATCCATAGCAGGAAAGATAGCAAAGACATACAGAACATGCCCAAGATTCCCTGGGACTAGGGATCTGTGGCAAATAGACTCCAAAAAGCACAGAGTGAAGACACATGAGCTAAAATGAAGAGCAGGTTACACAGGGAGTGGCTTGGGGGCAAATTTGGGTTACAAGTCACATCCAAATAAATTTTGATCCTAATATTCTTTATTTAAAAAGATTAATTAGAATTAAGAAAAAAGAATGATGATCCCCAAAGTTTAAATGGTAAATAATGCAATGGATAAAATCATACACTAATGGTTTGTAAGTTGCACATTTTGAAATAAAAATTTTAGTGGTTTTTAAATTGTCAAATTGTCTTGAATAATTTAAAATGTAATATTTAAATTTTATCTTACTGAGGGATTTATAAAGCTATGTTCCAAGGTGGTGAGAAAAAATTCAGCACCGAAGTTTAGTCTAGTGATTTTGGACTAGCTTTTGGTAAATCTGTAGGTGCATGTGCAAACCAAAGATCATGTTTCAAAGACTTATCGTTATGCAGAAACCAAGAGTAGCTTTTATAAAGGTCTTTTTGCATTTATATCTTTCTTTAATTTTTCTCGTCTATCATTTATCCATGAAAGCTAAAAACAAGATTTTATTGTATTTGGAATTAGAGAATTAGAATTTTGGTTAGATGGTATATATTGTCAAATTTGCAAAGTTAACCTCCTAAGAAAATGTCCATGATATCATAATCACAAAACAAATGTACATGAATGGCTAAAAAGGAAACAAACTGATTTTATATCTGTATTATACTATACTTATGATGATTTTGCTAAATAAATTAACGGTATTGATTTTAAAACAAAATTATCATCAAGGGGATTTGTTGCTCATTTTCACCTCCTCCCATCCTTTGAACATCAAGCTAAAAAGGAAGCTGAAGTGTTACCCAAAATAGTTATTTTCCCATGTTACTGAAAATATAAACAAAATGGCTTATAACATATATAGAAATTCAGAATGCTTATGTCTCACACACATCATTAAAAAGGCTTTTCTAAGCCAAGAGTGGTGGCCCGCACCTGTAATCCCAGCTACTTGGGAGGCTGAGGGAGGAGGGTTGCAAGTTTGAGTCCAACCTGAGCAATTTAGTGGGGCCCTGTCTCAAAATAAAAAATAAAGAAAGGTATCTCAGTGTGAAGGCCTTGGGTTCAATCCCCAGTATCTCTCTCTCTCTCTCACACACACACACACACACACACACACACACACACACACACACAGGGCTTTTCTGGACTATCATCTTCTTTGTGAGGCTTGTGATCTTACACAGACCTATGCCTGAAATATGCCTGTAATATGACTTAACATTCACTTTGTTCTGAGATGAGATGCTTTTGACATAGCCTATTCTCCTGGGTCTTATGAGCTTTTTTTTAAAAAAGCATAATAATGAAATCATCATACTCAGTAACAAGTCTTGGAAGCATATAAACAATACAGACATTCCTCGGGTAAGAACCGAGTTCTGTTCCTGCTGCTAGGTTACTAAATGAATTGGTCGCTAAATGAGGAATTGTATGTAGGAGCCACATTACAACAGTTAGAACAAAGAAATGCTCAAAAGAAACTCCAACTTGATGACTTTGCTTCTATTTGCATAACTCTTACGTGCAGTACTGTGATGTACAGCAGAACGTAAAAATACAGAAGAGTACAATCAGCAAAAATTACAGTACTATATAAACAAGGTATATTGTACCAAAAAAAGACATTGATGTTCTATAAAAGACGTACAGAAATATACAAAGAAAAGACAGGTCATCAGTCTGAGAGTCAGATGGTTAAGTCTGAACAGTCACTAAACGTATGGGTCGCTTAATGAGGAATACCTGTATATATACATGCACCCTGGAAAAGTGATACAATCCCAGTAGGTTAGGGGTCCTGGCAAGTACTGGAGCAGACAGCTACATCAACGGAGATGGATTTGTGGTCTAGAAGCATCTTTGTGTACTTGGAATTCCCATCCTAAAATGTCAGTACATGTGAACTTAAAGCTATCAAGGAATGTCTAAACAGAAGAATTGTTGCATATATTTTTAGGTAAAATAATAAGTCTACCAAAGATACCTTTGAGATATACTGACATTAATTAACTTTAGATTAATTAGCATTAAATTACTGCCAGGTGTTTTAAAAATTGTAGTTCTGACCAGAAATAACTTGAGAAAAACTGAACTTTGCAGTAGTCTTAAAGCTACATTTGAAGAAAAAAAAAAATTTTCAACTCTTAAAAATAGGTCGAAAAGCTGGGAACATAGAAACATTTGAAAATTGAGGCTAAAAATAATAGATTGTTTAAAATCTTGCACTTTCCCAAATGTTTGCTTTATGCTTAGCACTAAAAACAAATAAAAGATTAGAACAGACTGAGCAAAAGGCCTTCTACATATTTAAAATTTAAACTTAATGCTTTGATATTGGTTTGTGTGTGTACGTGTGTATGTGTGTGTAATCTCACAATTTGGTAAGAATGAGAGTACATCCATATATAATATGTAATATTATAATTTATATATGAATATATATATGCGCATATAATTTTATATTTTTGGTAGACAAGAAAGACATGCCATATTTACAAAAAATACCTTTTCTCATGTGGGAAGTCATTTTCAGTATTATTTCATTCAAGAAAAAGTTTCCAAAATTGACCCAGTTGATTTAAATTAGTAAATGTTATTATTAAATGTTATTGCTTCTTACTTTTGAGCTTTACAACTATTGGAACCATAGTATATATAAATTAAGTGAATGTATAAATGAGACATTTTGCATACTAGTATTTTAAAAATTACTACTGCCTATTACTTGCTCCTCATTCAATTTCCCCAAATCAGTGTTCTGCAGATTTACTATGTTAAATTACAATCTAATTCCTTTGTTCTTTATGGCCATACAAATGCTGTAAAACACAATCTATCATAAAAATACATACAGAATAATCTAAAAGTAATATACTAATGTGCTAATAATGTCTACCTTTGGTGGTCTGATTATGCGGGTTTATCTCTTCATTATTTCCCTGTAATGACTACCTGTTGCCTTATGACTAAATTTTAAAAACTCATTTAACATATAATTTATCTTGGTTATTTCTGAAAGGATCTGGGACAATTAGAGTTTGAAATACACTGAAAAAATAATGACTATGACTGAGCAGAGTAGATCTAAAGCAGAAAAGGATATTTGTGCAACTGCTTTGAATAGGTTTAACTTGAGCAATTAATTTGTTTCTAAGAAAGCAACTGACTGTGGGGTAAAAGTGGAAAACCCTTGCCACTACACACTCATGTTCTAAGAGAAGACTTAAACTTATCTATAATAACCCTCCTTGCGGGTCTGTAATTCTTTATTTGGTTTGTTAGTATAACCTTGAAACACACATACTTGACATTCTAGAAACAAACCACACACACACACACACACACACACACACACACACACAAGCATCGCTCAGAGGACAGTCTCCAATGTGGAGAAGCGTCAATGGTAATGGAGCTCTGGGACCGTGACAAAGGTGACTTGCTGCATTCTGGACCAGGCATCCATCCCTTCTCAGGACTTGGAACTCTACTCTGAGTAAAGCTCGGAAAGCATTCCTCCCTTTGTTTACTTATAATCTCATATTCCGTTCTCATCTTTTCTCCCTCTTCTAATCAATCACATTCTCTCCTCTCTCTTTTCCCTCTCTCTCGATACAAGGCAAGATAAACCTAGAAGGCCAGTTCCCTTGACTCCTAGGCCCTGGCTGGAGTTTGCAGGGCTGTTGGACCACAGATGTTCCTTTCTCTTACTTGAAAGTTTGAGAAGCATAGGCTCTGCTTAAGGCCCAACTGCGACACGGCATCATCTGTTCCTAAAGGCAAGTACAATTTAGTGCTTTCTGACGGAAGTGATGGATGGCACCCAGAAACTTCTGCAGGTCCATGGACTCCTGCTCCTAGTCTGACTTCCACCTGGCTCAATCTCAGGGGAAGTCTGATGTTGATACAGGAATTGAGACAAAAGAAAATGGATCCCCTCTTTCCACTGAAGGCAGAGACATCCAAAATTTCTAATTACATCCTTAAGTTTGTCCTGCCTTTTCAATACATTTTTGTGGCTTTTTAAATAACAGGATACCTTTTGTTAATTTCACCCTGAGGTTTTTGTTTGTCTTAAATATGAACCAGGAGAAAAGTCTCAGGGAATAAGCCAGACACGGTTTATTTTTGCTCACTCCATTATAGCCCACTCTCTTCCTCCTGCACACTGATCTCCTATAGAGACACACGGGACATTCACAGGGTGAGGCTGTCCCTTCTTACCTCACAGGTTCACATCTAAAAGTGTGATCACAGAGCCCCAACACATAAAATAATCCAGTCACTGGAAAGAAGTAGACTGTTTCTTGCTTTGAGTTCAGTATAATTCACACATTGTTTGTGTGAATATTAAATTTTTGAAAGTATAAACCAGTACGGTAAGCATGAATAAAAATTGATTAGCTATCTATATCTGCTTTAGGTGTATATTGTTTTATATCTTTATTACAAATTGTGTCACTTAAAAGACTATCCCATGGTATCCCATAAGTGGTTTAATATAATACAGAAAAAAAACTGAGACAACCTTCAAAATAAATAAGGACAAAAACCTCACACATCAGAAGGAACTAAGAACAACAAAATTAAAAAAAACTAGTCATTTGCCACTTGGATAACAAATTAGTCAACTTACAAAACACTATCCTTCCTAAGCCTTTCCAGTAAGTATCTTATCCAATTTTGCTATTTAAACTAAACTGCATCATATCTGAAAAATAAAGCAACTGTTTACTAGCTCTGCAGATCACCTACCTAATGGTGTGGAATATAGCAGAGATAATGAGCTCATTGTGAACTGCAACGGCCATATAGCGGGGTTCATGAAACGCTGATGGAACGGTCCGCACTGCATAGCAGAGATAAACACCCCACAAGAGGAATAAAAATTCAGCTGTGAGAAGGACAAGTAAACAGTTTTCCATTAGTCTCATATTTGATGAAAATAATTAAAGTTATTTAGCATGCATTTTGTCTATTACAGAAACATCAATTTAGTTACAAATAGATGCTTACAAAAGCTCATTCACATATAAATACAGATGCCATCTATTTATTTCTAAAATTTATTCAGTGTACAGAGATTTTTTTAAGGTATACTTTGTTGTTAAACAGCATTTGAAATACATATATATACACATATATATGAGATGTATGTGAAATATATTACATATTAGAAATATGTAGAATACCCAGATTTTTCCTAAAATAAGTACAAAATAATTTTCCACACATTCTCAACCTAAGTTTAAGATGTACACAGAGGACCTAGGTCGTTACAAACTTATCAAGGCAACATAAGGCTTGTAATATGTTTACAAACAGCTTTAGGGATTTAAGTTTCTACTGCACTGAGCCCAGTTCAGCATGTAAAAATATCCATTGCCAGAAATGTGAGAACATAGATTGCTAAACATTCAATGGCATGTTTTATAAATGAGATGCTGTTCTTTTCACACATGAGAGAAATCTTATCTTTTTTGGGTGGAGTGCTGAAGGATTTAGTAAAATTCACTATCACCTTGTTTGATCATTTAAGCCAGAAGAGATCAGCACAGTGTAGCAGCTAAGAATAAGAATTTCAGCATCGCTCTCCACCAATCTGAACACGGCTTTAGCCCTAACTAACACAACATAGTCTCAGGCAGTTTATTTAATAGCCTCTTTGGCCACAGTCTCTTTATCTGAATAATGAGGATAATAAAAGAACATATTTCATAGGATTGTTTGCTAATTCAATAATGTACATAATGCACTTAACATCCCTGACACATAGCAAATGTTAGTTTTTATTATTAAACTTCTCATTTGATTTTTTAAATTAAGCATTGCTATCTTAATTCATTATACCAATAATCTGTACAACTTATTTTATCTTAAGTGACATGACTTTATTGGAAGATAATATCTAACTATTAAGAAGAAAGCTATAATTTGGAGAAAACATTTCACATTACCTAGAAGTAATCTACTTGTATACTGAAATACTGATCTTCATTGAAAACACTGATTATCCATCCAAAAACTAAGATGTTTTATCTGCCAACATATCAGAGTATTTCTACCAGCATTTAAACATTAGATAGTGCCTTGATTATTGAAATCTCTTAAATAAACCAATCTGCCATTAGCTACAAGCCAAAGGGTGAAAACAAACTGCATTCCAAACTCCATGAGATTTAGCATCGCTCCAAAGTATTCAAAATGTAGTGGTCACAAGCCATATGCTGTGAATACCTTCCAGCCAAGCTCTACTGGGTTGAGAAAAGAAACTTCCTTTTCTTCATGTGTAATTTCCTTTTCCAACTCTTTTACTTCTGTCCTTACACTGTTGCCTTCTTTGGCTTGGTTTGGAATCTGAGCCATGTTTCATTTCTGTATTTCTCTTGAGTGTTCATTATGTCTCACTATGTAATACCCACAATCACAACCCTTGCCTGCCCCTGTCAGCTCACTTCTTATCTGCTGAAATTATTTTTCCAGCACCCTGTACACCTGATTTCACTCTGTCTTAATCCATTCATCCTAACAGTGCCCCTTCATTGTTCTGAAATTCCACTGTGATTACATCAGGATCTGTAAAAAGCCCTGTATGTGCAGTTGGGTTAACCTGTTCACGTTTCCTTAGAAAGTTCACTCACAGATCCTTACAACCCTGGAAATAATTCCTGTCCCCAAAGGAAGACCCTTGGGTTCCTGCTAAGGCAGGCAATCTTTACTTTGGAGACATTCTTGCTGCCCCAGCTTGGTGTTAGCAGCCCACACTACCTCACTTTGTTTTGTTTTCTTTTTTGCTGCTACATTTCTTAGACCTTGTCTTCCAGTCTCATCTCAGAGCCTCAGGGCAGCCTTTTGTGAAGTATCGATTGCATTCACACTCAGAAATCTTCAGTGGTTCATTATTATTTTACAAATCCTTCATCCTGCCATTCCTCGCCCTCTCTAAGATGACTCCATATGTCACATATGTGACAAGATCTTCCAGTGCTTCCCAACATCAACTTTTTGAGCTGATTTTTTAGCTGAATAATTCAGAGGTCTCACTGTCCCCTGAACACTCCAAAACTGGTTGTACTCTGAGTCTTTGGTCACATTACTGAGCCCCCAGGAAAGTTTCCTCTTATCTCTCTTTCCAAATCTCAACCATATTTTCAGTGTTCAGTTCAAGACCCACTTCTGCCAAAAAGCTTCTTGAAATCTTTTTAACCTACACTGAATTTTCTTTCCACTAATCTCTTACAGTTTTTAACTATCTATACAACACAATGCAGAGAACAATACCACATAATATAAAATTGGGGTAAAACCATTTGTGGGATCTTGTTAGGCAATGCCCATCCCAACCGTCTGCACTAGTTATAATCTTTGGTCTTTTAATAACTATTTTTCTCCTTCTGCCCATACAAGAGTTATCAACAATACTGCATCCACACAGATAAGACGTCATGAAATTCGATGAATTGGATGATTCTGTTTTTGGTACCAGGGATCAAACTCAGGACCTTGTGCTTGTGAGGCAGGCGCCGGAACCACTGAGCTAAATCCCCAACCCAAATTGGATGATTCTGAACGATACCAATTTCATGTTTAAGGCATTAAACATGTAGATGTTCTATTATGTTGCCACTCCATCTAACACTGGTGGGTCTGCTAAAAATAAACAAGAGGCAGTTAGATTGTAGTGGTTTCTGAATCTGAAACCCTTATGGAAGCTCATGGAAGCAAACAGAAACTTAGAGGTACTTCGTTATAAATGATGAATTTTGAGTTGAGTTTCAACTAATCACAGACAGCCAACAAGCTGATTGGTTCTTTAACATGCACCCTCCTTTTGGGTCATACCCAAATCAGGCAAACACTTAGCAGTCGCCAATCTGTTTATTTGCTTCGGGGTTCAGCCTATAGAAGCTCTGTGTTTTAGCTGCTACAGTGATGTCTGGAACCTTCTTTCAGTTTTGCTGTCTACAGATTCCTGAATCGTATTTGCTCGAATAAACAGTTAGATTTTATTTTGTCTCATGATTTTCTTAGAACAGGCCCACAAGTGATCTAAAGACCACGCTGGCATTATTACCACAATGGCGACTTCAGTTTCCTGACATTCGCCAAGGGTCTGGGTCTGTGCTTGGCACAAAAGAAAGCTGCACCAAAAATATTTGCTAAGCAGCAGCAGCACACAAAAATGTCTGTAGCTGAAGGATTCACATGCAGCTGCATTATAAATACAGTATTTCCTGCTAGTTATTACAGCGCCTTTATATATTGTTATACCAAAAAATTTAAAAAAGGAAAGTAGTTATCAGGTTAATTAGTGTGCTACAGCTGAAAATTATATTTAAAAATATAAGACAAATAAGACTCATAATAACTAAGCTGAACATTAAAATCATTTCATTAGCAGTATCAAACAATATGTTCTCACTGCAAAACAATTTATTATTCAAAGTACCAATTACACTAAACGTGATATATAAAAGTGCTCAGAAAAAACATCAGTCTCATACAATTAACTTCAGACTAACACTGCAATTAGTAAAGAAAAAATGCAGATGTTACCACATTTTGCAGTTTTATTACGTGGGAGTTGAAGTATGTGTTGTGCCTCTTCCTTTAAAAAATAATTTCTGGTGTTAAATGATTTTGATGGGAGGTATAAGCATAGTTAGAAAAGAAATTGCATTTATATTTAAAGATCCATGTAGAGCTTTTAGAAAACTGAGGCATTTTGTTTTTAATCTGTAAGGGATAACAGTTTAAAAGTTAACTACCATAGCTTTAAAAAAATTAATATGCCATAATGAAAGTAATTTCAAGTGATTTTTCCAAAGGGCTAGGGAAAGCAAAGAAGTGAGAATTAATATCAGTTCTGTGACCGGGCTTTGTGAATTAGGCCACCCAGAGACCTGAGGGGAGAAGAACTCCGAAGTGTAAATGTCGTTCAAACACCTTTACCTTGTTCATCTACGATGCAAAGATGTTTTGTCTTAATAACATTTTACCCTTCTTATCCCCATTAAAGTTACTGTTAAACAGCATAAAGATATAACTGATAAAATATTCAAGTTTTGTTTCCCAAGTGTTTCTTTCAATTCTCCCTTCTATTTTTCTCTTATCCTGTCCACTTAGAAAATTCATGATCAAAGTAAAAAATTATTTATGATTCCACCCAGGATAATACACTGTGTTTTCATTCTAGTAATAGAGTGGGTATCTCAGAGGTTATTATTAAATCAAACAACTTCAAAAATTCTTAAGAATATTTCAAATCCCAGCATTCAGGGTTTAATGGCCATACAGAAGCTTATATTCTGGTTGCTTAGCTGCCTTTTTTCCTGGTTAAAATAAGGACAGTCATGAGGTTATATGGATTAAAACTGAAAATGTTACATCTGATAGAACTTTAAAGTTAGAAGTGCCTTTGTTAGACCATACAGGGAGGGTGCATTTCTAAGTGTGTATATGAGATGAAAGGAAAATGGGCTATTGAGCTATTATTTTGCTTGCCTTAAAATCAGTCTTTTCTGCTAAGATACAGAAACATGCAGAAGAAAGTGGATGTTAGGATACATTTCATAACTATGATAATGGAGGCCCCAATATCTGCTCCTTTCTTAGCACCTGAGAAGCAGCAGGCCACAAGAAATGGGCAGAGCTGGGATTCAGGACTTGCTGACAACTTTGTCTCCCTCAGGTGCACTCGTCCTGTGAGCAACAGAGAAGAACCTAGAACCCATGCCTCTTAGTTCTTAACCCCTGATCCCTAAATTACATTCTTGCTGAAGGATTTTTCTTGTTTTTGCTGTTACTAACAGAAACAGAGAAAACCTTGGAAATAATTATTTTTCAAGCAGTGATTGTTTGTATTTTAAACAATTCATATGTTCATTAGAATTG